GTAGTACAACTTTAGTACGCGGAGTATCTGGGGAGCTGGAAGATGAGAGCTGGCGAAGTTGTAGTACAACTTTAGTACGCGTGGTAGCTGGGGAGCTGGAAGATGAGAACTGGCGACTTTGTAGTACAACTGCAGTACGCGGAGTAGGTGAGGAGCTGGAAGATGAGAACTGGCGAAGTTGTAGTACAACTTTAGTGCGCGGGGTATCTGGGGAGCTGGAAGATGAGAACTGGCGACTTTGTGGTACAACTCCATTTTGTGTGCGCTTCGACCTGCTGACGGTTTACTTTGTTTTTGTCTTGAAATGAGACTGACTTGTCTTCAGCCGGTTGAAGAGCGACTGACTTCTGACGTATAAGATATATCTTTTCTCTCGCCTCTGCCCATTCACGTCTTCACACGCTCGCATCCATACATCTACCTCTCCACCTCATCTACACATCTATATGACACCTGCACATCCACACTGTCACTCCTTCACGTCCATCCTTTCTTTCTTTCTTTATCGATGTCTTTTCCACAGTACTGGACAATCACATGTCTCGCTCTCGGGCCACCCGTCGTCTAGTCTTCAGGCCGTCTTCCTGGGAACACTGGACCCGGGAGCCCTATGGGGAGATGTGCTGAAGGGTACTGTCCGACCTGCGCCGATCCGGCGCCGATCAGGCGCTTCTTCTCCAAATCCATCACGCCTTCAGAGCCATTCCCGGTCGGCCAGGGTTTCCGATCCAAGGCGTTTTTGCTCGGGGCCTTCGTACGCATCGGGGGTCAGATGCCGGTCAGAAGGCGCGGCAGCACAGCATCAGCCTGTTGTGTCCTGTCGCCAGATGGCACCTGTCCCGCTTGTGGCACGCATGTAGTACTGACACAAGTTCACATGACGGCTGTGAAGTGTTCGTCGTTGTTTCGGCACCTCAGGTGATCTTGCAGAGGCCGAACGCAAGATGATGTCTTTGCTCACAAGAAGTGGTGTCGCATGCGAGGTCGTTCCCGGTCAGGCGCCATCGAAAGCCAGTGGGCGCTCAGGCAAGAGCCCCCTCGTTCAGGCGCATTCGCTGCTGGTCGTTCCCGGCAAGGAAAGGGCGTGGGAAAAGGCAAGTCGGGCGCTGGCCAGAATCCAAACGATCGGAATAATGGTCAGGTCAGGTGATGCTACATGGTCGGAGCATTTGTGGAGGGCATGCCCTCAGAGGCCACAGCAGCGAGGACAATCATATCCCTCACATGCATCACAGCCCCAGCTTGCATTGACCACATCCAATGTGCTCAGCCTTTGTTGTGGGGAAGGCTCAGCCTTTCTTGTCCTGCCAGGTGTTTCGATCAGCCTTTGTCGTGTGAAGGAACCGTCTCCATTCGTCTCTCGTCGCGGCTGGAAGCCCACCTAGGCTAGGCTAGGCTGAAAAGCTAGGCTGAAAAGACCACCTGGCTTGAGCGGTTTTGACTTCGTCGTTCTGGAAGCCCGGGCACCGAGGCGAGATCTTGGGTTTCGCTTCGATCGAACGCCAGAGCACCGGCACTCGTTGGCACCCTCGGCAGGCACACCGTCGCCAGCTTGTATATTCCCAGGAGAGAACCAAAGAAGCGTGCCAGAATAGGACAACAGGCAGGACATCAGTTGTGGGGTCGTTTTCTGGAGTTGCTTTGTAGCACACGCTCGCATGTTGTCATGTGTTCATGCTGACAAGCCGCCATGTGGCCATGCTGCGGTACTGCGGTCTTCGCACTTGCTGGCTGGCGCTTCCCCACTAGGTGTCACACAAGGCTTGCGCGTGCGCAATTGCTTTCTTGCGTTGGACCCTTTGATTGCGCTTGGGGACGGTGCTTGCTTCGCGCGCGCATGCTGTCATGGTACGACGTCTACATGCGGCCATGCTGCCATCTGGGCACCAGCAGAAAGGGGCAACAGAACAACAAGGGACTATGGGAGGACAACAAAAGGATAAAAAGAGGACCAGAAGATAAAAAGACAAAGGACGAAAAGAGCACAACAGGAGGACAAGGAGAGGACAAAAGTATCACAACGGGCGAGGACTGGAGACTGGCTAGCAGCCGCACCAAGCTGGAAGAAGGACAAGAAGATGACAACAACAAGACAAAAGGCGGACATCGGGTTCACCGGCCCGGCTAAGCTGGACAACGACAAGAAGACGCGCAAGAGGAAGAAAAGAGAGAACAAACAGCACAACAGGAGGACAAGGGTCGGACACAGCGTTCACCGACGCGGCCAGAAACTGGGGCCAGTTCTTTTTCCGAAAAGAGAAACCCAACAGTAAACTGCTTGGAAGTATCCCAATGTGTTCACGTCTGGATCTGTTTGCCACCGGTCGATCTGAGGAACTGGGTCGCTATCAAGCTGATCTTTGACCCCGTGGAGCCGACACAGGCGACACGACCGGGTGTCGTTTTGAAGAGTGAGGAGTGGGGGAAGGTCCAAAGAATGAAGAGAAGATTCAATGCATATTCCTGGCGATTGGGTTCCCAGTGGTCAATCCTTCTGGGAAATCTATCCGTTTTGAGAACATCATACTATATCATATTTTTTGGCAGGTTCCTTCAGCAAATCCAAGTGTTGGACGGCGTCCGTTTGACGAATCTCCTCCAATTGCAGATGCATCATTGTAAGCTGGGAATTGAATGTTGATGAATTTTTGATTTTTTGATTTAACATACATTCAATTCTCAGGATTCTTTGGGAGCCAGCTACCTTCAAATCAGGTGACGTGAACCTCCCCTTAGAAGCGGTTTCAACCGAGCTCCAGGACACGAGCTGACCCAAGTTCTATGAGATCGGATGGGTCTGACGGAATTGGACAAACTTACCAAGTTCTGTTCATGAAGGATCATTCATTTTCATTAGTTGGAGAAGCCTACCAAATGTATATAGTTCGGATCCCAAGCTCTTTTCCGGGTGGTCGGTTGATAGTTTCTGACGCTTCACATATGTGACGTTGCAGAAAGCCATGAGGTCCTGGCCAAAGGGGCGAATCGAGGCAACCAGACCCGTTTAAAGGAAGTAGGGATAATGTGACCATGGCCTTGAATTGAAAGACCTTTAAAAAAATGGTTGACTTGGTTTTGTAGTGCACATTCCTTAGTCAAAAAATGGTTGTTTGGAATTCAAAACCATTTAAAATCAATGGCGGGCCACAAAACCTAGGGCGAATGTCAATTCTTTCGAGGTTTTGAAGGAGAACCTCAGGCTTGGGGCTTCTCATCTTCGCCCTTGGTGTGTGCGACCTTTGGCAGCGGTCGGTCGCTGCGAGCTCGCTCGGTCGGTCGCCCGCCAGGTCGGTCCCTTCGTCTTTCAAGGGCTTTTCGAGAAGAGGCAGGTGGAGGTCCACCGACCGCGGGGAAAAAGGGGGTGGCCGCTGACGAAAAGTGGGGGAAGCGATGTGAGATCGAAGGATCAGGGTGTGTTTTCTTTCGTGTCTTGATTGCCCAAGACCTCTTATCATGACGTTGGCGTGAACCAAACACACGACTGCATGGGTGTGTGTGTGTGTGTGTTGGTTTTAAATAGAAAGAGACACCAAGCCAATGGAGTTTGGTCTCCTTCTTCCAGGGGGGTCAGGGGGGTCGGCTTCCCACATGGAAATCCCATGGACCCATGAAAATGATCCTAACTCTATCCATTTACGCCGTGATTCCGTGATGGATCGTGGGATCCATGTGATCCAAGCGTTCTTCACCAAGCTTCGAAGGGCCAGGACACTCTTCCAGGCCCCATTTGGTCATTTCACCAAAAGGAGCATTTAGAGTCTTTTCAAACCATCTCCGTCTGCCAGCTGCTTTGATCCATGGTCGTCCCAGACCAAAAAAAATCTTCCTCCCGGTATTCGTAAAATGGTCGAAACCATCGGTCCATGTTCGTTCTCCGCCGGGGGAGGTACCAACGACCCGAACGACCGAGACGAACCCAGACGACCGAAGCGGCGTGTTAGCGGCCTGGCAGGTCGCTTCGGACACGTCACAGTCGGACCCGGAACCGGCCAGGTCTCCCAGGAGTTCTCAGAGTTCCTGGCCGACCGCGTGACCTGTTGGAAGAGATGGTCGACCCCGCCATCGGAAACGAAATGGAACGAAATGGAAGAAGATAAAGTGGAAACGTCGGGACATTCACCATGGTGGAAATACTGGTCGTGTCATCGATTTTACAAGGGGTGTTCACCTGTTTTCGTGGATTGTTGATCAATGGTTTTTTTGTTTTGTTTCATCCGACTGTTGAGCGACAGGTCTTCACCAAGCGGAGCCGCTCCAGTCTTTCTGTGGTCAAGCCACCAGTTACGATCCACCAAACTGGGAGCATGGTCCAGAGACCAACGGAGCACGGTCCGGTATGCCGCTGGTGCACGGTCCCTTGTGGGGAGGCCTTGGGGACGCGCCCTGGATTCCCCATTTTCGCTATGGCCCCGCCCACCTCCCCGTGGCAGGGAATAATGTTTCTATGATCAATGATTCACATCTGAGAATCTTATAAGGTCATGTAAGGTCACATTATACCTATTCTTCCCTCGTACCCCCCCAGTTCCCCCTGGAACGACTGTACTCTTCTAGACCACCGGGACCACCGCGTGGACCGCAGCGTTTGGGCTCACCGAGACGATCCGCCGCGCCTTCTCCGCTCACGTCCTTCTCCGCTCGCGCCTTGGCGTTCGAAGCTCGGGAGCTCGGTGGCGCAGCTTCGATGCTTCGGTCGGTGGTCGGTGGGGTCGGTGGGTTTTTGCATGGGTTCTTTTCTGTTGTCCAACCTGTGCTTGGCTCAGACGTCGACCGTCCTGTTCTCGGCCGTCTTTCAGTCTTTCTCATGTGAGACGTGGCGACCCATGGAAAGAGGTGGACATGCAAAAAGACGTCCAATGGAAATCGGAGGATTCCAACAGAGGTAGCCAACTGGGATAGCCTAGTTCGGGTTTTCCACCTCTGTCCGATGATTCAAACCTTCTTTGTCTCGCGGCACACTCGGAGGAGGTGCCTCAAACCCGCACCCAGGACATCCTGTCGGGGTGTCCAATGGACATCTGAAGGGTAGGGTACTGGTAGGTTCACCAGGACCATCCTGCCTGGACACCCAGACAGTGAGGATGGTCCTGGTAGTTGACCATGTGTAGCATGCGCAGACCCTTCTGGGCATTTGGTGTAGATTGGGGCTTTGACCCACAACCATCTTGGCAAGAAAACGATTGTCAAAGCAACACTCGCTCGTAGCAATTCTATCCTTGGGCCAAAAACAGGAAGCCATTTCCCATGTGTTTGCATTGACCCCTGAAATGACTTCAGTCTAAGTAAATATGCCATACATGGAGTGTGTGGATTTCAGCAGCAATATGACTACCTCGATGACATGAATCATAATATATTTCTACTGATTATATTTCCATTGACAAAGGGAAAGTGGCCGCAAAAATCAGTCAAAGTATTCAAAAAAATACAATTCACTGCTAGAGTCAGGCCCTTTTCCGCAAGAGTTCCATGGCACCCGGTGCCATGGCACTGTCTTTCTTCACTCCCTTCGGCCCGGTTTCGCCCGGAAGGGACTGTGCAGAACTTGAAGACGGTGACACAACCGCACCCGTTGGAGAAAGTCCTGGAAGTCCGTGAAAGTCTCCATATATCGGCTTGTTGGAGTCGATGAGGCAAAGCCCACTGTTTTCCTTAGATACATATCTAAAGTCTAAATAGCAGTCGATCAATCTGTTTTCCTTCATCTATACTCATTCCTCTACTCATTCGTTGATCATTCGAACCGCCGTCTGCCGTCCCCCCGGCCAAACGCCGCGCCTCCCAGGACCGCAGCCACCGATGCTCCGAGCGGCGCTCGTCGTGGCCGCGCTCGCCGTGGCGGCCGCGGCGGCCGACGCCGACTGCGAGGAGTTCTCCACGTTGGTCGCGAAGCAGGTGCCCAGGGGCCAGGCCGGGCCCAGCTCGGGATGGGGGCTTTTCATGAGCATGCCATGGGATTGGGCTCTTCCGTGATATTGTGGAAATGGGTTTGGGTGCAGACAGCCTGGCCGGTCTAGCTGCTAGCTGGCCCAGACCAAACCGCTCGCACAAAAGCGGTGTAGCTACCCGCACCCAGACCAGATTGGGCTCCGATCAGTCGAAGTTGAAAAGGGGTCAGCCAGTGGGTCAGGCCACCCAACCAGTCCGATGGAGGGTCTGGGGCAGCGCCTTTCGTTTCTGAGACGAGAACGGATGATTTGGTCCCGCATGCCGCATGCCTTGGCCATTGCATGACACTTCCATGTCCTTGCTGTAGTGTAGGTACGTGGTCTCCTAACGGTCTCCTACAGTCCTGGCGTGCAAAACCGGAGGTTTATCTTTTGACAGGGAAGATAGCTTGCTCAAACTTCCGGACCTTCTGTTTGCTGCTCCCAGGAGAAGAATGATCTTCTCCACACAGAGACGAAGAACGATTTGATGCTCTTATCAAGTTCAGGCAGTTCGCGCTACCAAGCATCTAGGCCGCCTAAGCCTTGCAAGTTCTTGGTGCGACTTGCCGAGAGGAGCCAGCTTCGAGCAGGCTGCCGTGTTGAAGCAAGATAAAGCAAGAGACACAAGCTGAAGAGCTTGTTCGAAAAGATATGCCCAAACGATATATTTATATATATCGCTCCCAATGACTTGACACGGATGCTTTAAGGGAAAGGAAATGGTCAGCTTCGAAAAGCGTTGACAACTCGTTCGGCTTGAAAGTTTGGAGGCAACTGGATGTTTAAAAAAAACAGACAGGCGGCTTGCCACAACTGGGTCCAGGTTGGCAACCTGGTCCAACGCTCGTTTCACGAACGACCCCTGCAAGCAGGGCCCTCCCGAGGTGATTTTCACCGATGCCGACGCGCAAGAACTGTTGCTCATCTGGCAAGTTTGGGAGATGTAGACGCGATGCACGGTTTGGGAGGCGTTCGTTGTGTGGGATGAGAAGATCCATACCTTCAAGAGAATCCTGCAAGGTCCACGGTGGAACACGCTGTGCTTTTGGGACCGAGATGAGACAAGGGGGAGGTTGATTTGGACAGCAAAAAAGGGGTAGGAATCACAGATTCATTCTACCCTTTCCTAAATGATACCTTCCTTCATCATTAGATGTTACAAAATTTTAACCCACTGTAGATCTGATGTAGGCCAAGATGTCCACGTTCTGAATTCTTCGGCCATCCGACCGTGATCACCGTGTGAGACATGAAGAGTAGAAGACTCGAGGTTCCCCGAGTGGTGGATTCTGGTTTTGATCTTCTAGAAGGTGGCTGAAAAAAAGAGATGTTGAGCCGACCTGCCCAGCTCCAAGCTCCGAGCTTCTCGGAGACCTCGACCCATCACGAAGAAAAAGCACATGGATGTGTATTAAAATAGGGAGACCGCTCAGGCAACGATCCCCTGGGGTTTCATAGGCCAGTCTACCCCGGTCTCCCGGTCTCGACCACACGAGTCACGTGCCCACTCGCCCCGGTCCGGTCAAAGAAGGCTATGGCTTTGCCGTGGAACTGCCACCCGCCAACCGTACCCAGTCTGGTTCACACCCCCCGCCACCGAACAACTGCTCGTTTTGGGTGCTCCTCCACGCAGACGCCCCGCGTTTTCCACGCCCCGCCACCCGAGGTCCAGCTTCCTCGAGGGCTGTCACCAGATCTTCCTGGATGTTGGATCCAACCGCGGCACCCACGTCCGACCCACGGCGCGCACCACTCGGCTCCCACGCTTGTGAACCCGGGCGCCCGACACAGGGGTGTCGGCGAGGGCCGATCCGGTCTCAAGTCCTCGGTGAAATCGATGGTTCTTCGGTACAAGTGAATCAATGTTGTTTCAGGAAACCTGGTTGCAACGTGTTTGGGGTTGTACCATGTTGTACGCGGTTTCCCAGGGTCGGACGGTTGGCATCTTCCTCCAGACCACAGGCGTGATGGACGGACCAATGACCAACCCACCATACCATTTCAACAGCTTTGCTCGGTTTTTGTTGAGCGAGCTTCCTGTCGAGCCTGGTCAAATCTCCAAACCATGCTGCTCACTTGGCCCCAAAGAGTCTAAGCAAATGTTCAAGGCCTCCTGTCCTTTCCTCAACTGATTAAAACTCGCAGCTCAACTCTGTCCGCAGCCATGCGTCACTTCACCCGAGGAAAGCTTTTTGAGCCCCAGAAGTATAAGGGCGCCCGGTACCTGAAAGTCTTCGAGCGCGTATTTGGTCCGCCCAGCGAACGGCAACGAAACTCCAGTGGCATTTGTGCCATTGGCAGCTTGGCAGATCTGTCATAGTGATGGGTGGATTGGAAGGGTAGAGACTGGCACATGGTGGGTAAGCTAAATAGATTTCAGTGGTGAAATCGATTCACAACTGAGTGGACGATCTGCATTCTCAGGTGCTCTTATAGAGGAGTGTGCTGAGTGCAATACATGTGTATACACACTCAGTATGATGTACTCATGGCTACTCATATTATGAGTATTATGTATCATGTAACATGTGAAATAACCATGTCATATATATATATCAGTATTATATATATATATTAATGTAACCATGTCGTACGTACATTGTATTTTGTGAAGAATCCCTTTGCATGATCCAGTCCGACGGAGCTTTTTTGATGAGTCTCCACTCTGGAAAAGCCTCCTGGGGGAGAAGGTCGAAAGCAAGGTTCCAAGGAGATTCGAAATGCAGGTAGGGACTGACCAATTAAAACCAAGTACCTTCGGAAAATCCATTTGGTAGACTGAGTTTCCCTCCCAAAGCATTTGGATGTTCTGCAAAATGAAAACGAAAAACGTCGGCTCAATGAGCGGTTTTCAGTGTCCCGGCGTCCCCAAGGCTTTGAGCCCAACAGCAAGTGGATCCCTCACCACCAGGACATCGAGCGCGCCTATGCGAAGCAGGGATGGAAAGCGTCTCGTCCCGAAGCCGGGCGGTGCGGTCGAGACCGAAGCTTCGATGCCGCACGCGTTTGGCGAGTCCGCACGTCGAGACGTCTGTGTCTTCCGAGATGCATTTCTGTCAGAGCGTTACAACTGAAAAAAAAGACCTGCAGCACAGGGCG